AAAGACACGAAGGGGTTTCTGTATAGTGTATGGGAGGCTTGCAGTCGCTCCCCATATGGCAAGTAGTTCGGCATGCATGGGGGTACCGTTCGGTAGATGGCACCTGTAGGCCCCAGTGTACTTGGTGGTCTGCGCGCAGATCCATGCTATACAAGCTTTGCCATCGGAAAGGGCAGTGTCCGTGTATATGTCGATAGTATCTAAGCTCGCTTCTCTGAGTTGTGGCTTGGCAAGAAACTGGCAAGCAGTATTATTGTGACGAGATATGGGGCGACGGAACAGTCGAGAGGCTATTGGAGTTTCCCATGGGGATAAGGACTGATCAAGAAGAGGTGCATCATCGTGCCACTGACAATCTGAGGCCAGAAGGCAACAACTTTGCGGTGTGTTTTCCAGGCAGATGTGGTGTCGAGTGTTGGCTTCACGAATGATGTCTTGCAGAGAGGGCAAGCCTCCTGCGCTTTCAAGGGCGGATATCTTAGTGTGTTTAGGGAGCCTCGTGATGGTACGGAGAGTAGCCCAATGAAGGCGTTCCAAATTTTGGATGTCCGTTGGAGAGAACGTGTATATGGGTGCGCCGTACAAAATCTTCCTAACGGCCGCAGCTCTTGCGAGAGTGCAATAGGCTTGTTGTCGTGCACCTCTGTACTTGTTGGACAGACGACGTATCATTATAACGTGGCTGGCCATGCCTGCCGCAATCCACGTACCCACTTTTGTGGGCTGTTGCAGCTGACTATTGGCAAACCTAAAACTTTGATTTGTCCGTTTTTTTTTATTGTATAGTGCATGATCCAATATGGAGTGAGATGCACATTTTCGGGTTGGTGCGATTCTTGCCGTCAATGCTTATGAGTTCTGTCTTATGTGGAGCCAGCTGCAGGCCTACTTCCTTAAGAGTGAACTCTAAACTAAGGAGGGCAGCCTGCAGCTCGGTCTGAATTGATTCTTTGTCAGAATAATCCACTGCCTCTGTCCATATAGTAATATCATCGGCGTAGATAGCGAATCTAGCCGTGGTGTCCCATTCAAGGTTTTCTGCTACCCTGCTCATGGCCAGATTAAACAGCGTCGGTCCTAAAATAGATCTGTGTGGAACATGTCTGTCCAAGTAGTAAGTTTTTGGGCTCCATCCAGGTGATGCACTGCTTAAGCGAATGGGCCGACCTGTAAGAAAATTTGGAATCCATGTCTGCGCAGGCTGACTTGGGTAGCGCTTAGCAAGTTCTTCAAGAATGGCGTTATGGTGAACATTATCAAATGCTTTCTGCATGTCAATGACCAGCAAGTAGTCAGGTAACATCTTTCTTGATATACGATTGATAACGCGCCGTAGCAGCCAAAGGCAGTCATGAGTGCCGAGGTTAGGGCGAAAACCCGCCTGGGCTGGATGGTATCCCGACCGGGTTATCTCGAGGTAATGGGACATGCGTGTGTGAATCATGCGTTCAATGAGCTTACATAAAGTAGATGTTAAAGATATTGGCCGGAGGTTCTTGCCGAGGGTCTTCTCTTTTCCATGTTTCGGAATAGGATAAATGAGAGAGAGCTTAAGATTCTCCTGAACATTTCCTGAGGCCCAGAGGTCATTTATTACCACCAAAAATGCGTCCTGGGCTTCATCTCTGAGGTTGCAGAGTTCTTGCCATGTGATTCCGTCGTGGCCAGGCACCTGCCCATGTTTGATGGCTGCTAGCATTTCTCCCATGCTAAATGGGCGATTGAGATTCGGATCAGGTTGCGTTACGGTGCAGGCTTTCGGAGATGTAGGCGGAGTGAGTGAAGCGTGAGGAAAGCAAGTGGTAATAACTTCGTCTTTCACAACTGACGAATCTGCTTTGAGGAACAGCTCGGCCAGAGGAGGGTTGCCCTTTTCTTTCCCGCTGAGGCAACGGAAAATGCGCCATAGACCTTGGAGGCCCGGTACACGGCCAAGGCGTTCGCAGGTGGATTGCCAGGCTTCACTTTGAAGTTGGAGCTGATATTCATTGATAAGCTTGAACTGGTGCTTAATTTTCATGAGGTCAGAGTGTCATTTGTCGTGCGAGCGGTATCTTCTGACTAAATAGTCCGCTGTTTTCTATAAATTGCCTAAATGGTTATCCATCGGTTGAGTATGGTCTTTGCATGGCACTGTTTCGTGTTCCAGCCCTCAATTGTCGAGAAGGATCCAGTAACATTACTACGAAAAGTATTCCATTAGTCATCGTTGTTGTTTCGATCCGGAGGCGTTTTCGATGAAGTGCCATGAATATCGGGAGATGATCACTGCCCCATGACTGGTTGGAGAGTGTCCAGTGCCGTACAAATTGGGGGCTGGCGAGGGTAAGATATGGGGTCGTGTCTCTCTGCGCTCTATGTAGTCCTATTCTTGTAGGGTTGTCGGGGGAGATACAAACTTCTACAGAAGAGAGTTCAATAGCGTCGTAAAGATGTTTTCCGCATTTATTCGGCTTTCGGGCACCCCAGGCATGGTGATGAGCATTAAAATCACCTCCAATGAGCAGAGGGAGGTTCTTAGATGCTTGCTTATGCGTCTCCAGCCATGTGTATGGTCCAACTGAAATATTTCTTGGGCGAAGATACGCAGACACGGCCACGAAGGGCTTTTGGTCAGGAGGACAAATTTTAACAGCTACTATTTCGCGAGCATTAGAACTGAGATCAGGAATGTCCAATTGAGTGGCCGAGCAGTCATTCCGCACCAGAAGCACTGCCTGGCCTTTGGGAAGCTGCCGCTTATGTTTGATGAGTGGTGTCTGAAAAGCACGGTAACCAGGAAGCGAGCACGTGCCGCGCGTCTCCTCGAGAAGAAAGAACAAGGGGCGATGCCTTTGAACAAAATTACGGATAGTGAAGCACGTTTGGTTAGAACTACGACAATTCCACTGCACCCCCTGAGCGAAAGAGCTCATGAGGAAGGCCCTGGTTTGCGGCGCTTATTGTCATCAGCGAGGACACTGCGCTGCAGTTCATCAAACATATTTCGAAACCGAGTTTCCATGGTATCAAGGGCTCGTGTTAGAGCGTTAACCATCTCCGACCGAATCGCATGCTCCAGCTTATTAGATTCTTGAGCCCGTTCTTGTCCCAGGAGCCCAATAATGTGGGTGTAGGCAGAGTCCTTGTCAGTAACCGGTTTAGAGCGACGTGTCGGAGAATAGCTTTTTCTTTTATTTCGAGACCGACTAAGGCTTGGCGCTGGGGACCGATTCCCGTTCTTTTCATCCAGCATGAGGTCGCAAAGTCTCTGATTTTCCTGCCCAATTCCTGTACTTCTTGGCGAAGGTTGTTGACAAGCTGAGTCAGATAGGAAGAAGCGGAAGTTTGAGCTCAGGTTACCTTCTGAGGCGTCGGAGGGGTAGGCTGTATGGCAGATGTCGTAGTTGATGAATTATTAGTGTTGTGAGGAAGGGCTGATTCAGATATATTTCGTTTAGGACAATGAGGGCTGAGTGAAATGTGTGTGGACGCTCCACAAGCCAGGCAATGAGGAAACTGCTTACAGTTTGGGTCGACCTCATGCGGAGCTTTACCACAGTCCCGGAATACTGGTGAGAAAGAACAGTATTTGGCCACATGGCCCAAACGATGACAGTTGTAGCATGCGACCGGGCGAGGCCGATATTCGTGAACACGGATGACTTCGTATTGAAACACCAAGTGTTTCGGCATGGAGTTTGTATCAAATGTCAAAAGCAGCAGCTGTGTTTTACAGAGCATGCGCACGTCAGTGATGGTTGCCTGTTCACAGCGCAGATGCGCTTTGATGTACTCAATTGTTAGGCCGGGTCTGATCTTTATTAACCCACGAGAGCTGCCGACTACGTGTGGCTGAAGAGGTGATGTGGCGACATCAATTACTCGCATGCTACCACTGACTGTTGCCACTGAGTGCGAGAGTGTGCATAGTTTGCGAAAATGACCTTTGTCACGAAGTGTGATCCATATGCAGTTACTGTTATGTAAAGCGGAGAATTGACATTTCTGCAATAAAGGTTGACGGAGCGCTTTGCTCTATGGCGTCTCTAAGGGCTTGTTTCGAAATGTCTGTCACATGCACTTTGTTTAGCAGCCTGATCAAAACAATATAGCGGGGCCAACTCACCCGTTCGGCGTGCAGTCTGTTCGGCGACACTTGGCGTCGGTAGTACACGGCATTATTCTTTTTTACTTCATTGTCAAGAAGTTCGGTGGTGCCAGTAGAAGAGCTCGCTGCCGTCTTGTTGACACGTGGTCCGGTAGATGATTCTGATGACAACGTAGACTGCGTTGCATTCATTGTCTCGTTTTCGTCAGATAGCGTTAGGAAATCACTTGAGTTCACTGAAACGCTTGTGCATGCGGTGGTCGTTTTCATAGTAGGCATCTTGAAATTCGGAGTGAAATGCGCTGGGAGTAACAGATTCATCAGGCACGGCACGGACGCACACACGCGGAGCGAACGCGGTCGCCTGCAGCTGTGCCCTAGGCCAGTCCGAAGCTGCTCACTAGGCTTAGGGTGGTCAGTTCACAAAACACAGAGAAAAAAGAGAAAAAGGTTCTCCAAAAATGCTGTCTGTGTGAGACATGCTCACCGTTTAACTGGCATTCACTTCTGCGGCAACGAATCGTGGTATATCAGCAGAAAAAACTGGTCGAACTGACAAAAAAACAAGGAGCCGAGGTCAGGCACGTCTGCCATCGTGGGCACTCAGCAGCGCCCCCCTCCTCGATGCTATACATAATTAGAAATTTTTATTACTAGTCGTAGCACACAGATGTAGAGTGGAAACTTTTTTGGCAAAGTTTGATAAAATATGGCGACTTTTGTCGACATTTCTCTCTTCATATCCATTCTCACTCAAAACTCAGAGGCAACCATGGTCCCATTCTTGAATGAGATGTAATCCGGCCATGACGATACGCTAGTTGAAAGCTTCTATGAGGACGTGGAATGCGCAATGAGTAAGGTAAAAACACAGTAATGTAAAAACACACAAACCGAAGCAGGCACTAACCTGGAGAGGCTGTCCCTGGAAGATACGTTCCAGCTCGGCAAATATAGCCCCATGGTCTTCTTCCTCATCGAGGAGGAAGCATCCACTGTCGACGCGCTCCTCGCACTTTCTCTCTTCTTGGGTGCTGCCTTCCAAGATGTGCTCCCCTGCAAGAACCGGGTGAGCAGGTAAACAGTTATTTTGGCTACCCAACAGTGCACACTACTGCCCTTTTAATGAAGTTGTGACAACACATATTGTTATTCTACAAATGAAGTAATCTGCTACAAGAATTAGCTGAATACTTCCACAGAAGCAGATTTATAGTTCAAAAATAAAGGTTGCTATTCCTCCCATATATATTTTTTTAATTGCGTGCAATGCAGAGGCTATGACAGAGCATTGTCTATGATGACCAACCCAGTGCACCTTACTGTCACAGTTCAACATTTACTTAGTTCGTTCACTTTGCCATTTCCAGTTATAGTGCTAGACTGTCCCTCAACCTGTCACTGTTAACTACAGAATGACCTGGATAATGCTCGAGTTAATGTAGTGTTTACATGCTTCTAGCTGGCAGCCTGTAAGTCACAATTAGGCCAACAAACAGTTCTGGTAAATGATTGCTGTTCACACTGTGGTGCTCCATGTATGTTCACAGATGTTGCTTAGACTATTTCTGATTATTCACTCCTATGCAGGCCCATAGCCAGAAATTTTTCTCGTGAAAAATAAAAAAGACATTCATCATCATCATCATCATCATCATCAGCCTGACTACGTCCACTGCAGGACAAAGGCCTCTCCCATGTTCCGCCAGTTAACCCGGTCCTGTGCTTGCTGCTGCCAATTTATACCCGCAAACTTCTTAATCTCATCTGCCCACCTAACCTTCTGTCTCCCTCTAGCCCGCTTCCCTTCTCTGGGAATCCAGTCAGTTACCCTTAGTGACCAGCGGTTATCCTGTCTACGCGCTACATGCCCTGCCCATGTCCATTTCTTCATCTTGATTTCAGCTATGATATCCTTAACCCCCGTTTGTTCCCTAATCCACTCTGCTCTCTTCTTGTCTCTTAAGGTTATTGCTAACAGAGTAAAGAAAACATTAGAATTCAATCAACCAAAGGAACAAGCAGGATTTCGAACAGGCTACTCAACAATTGACCACATTCATACTATCAATCAGGTAATAGAGAAATGCTCAGAGTATAACCAACCACTATACATAGCCTTCATAGATTACGAGAAGGCGTTTGATTCAGTAGAAATATCAGCCGTCATGCAAACACTGCGGAATCAGGGCGTAGATGAAGTATATATAAACATTCTGGAAGAAATCTACAGGGGATCAACTGCTACCATAGTGCTTCATAAAGAAAGCAACAGAATACCAATCAAGAAGGGTGTAAGGCAGGGGGACACAATTTCCCCAATGCTATTTACCGCGTGCTTACACGAGGTTTTCAGAAGCCTAGAATGGGAGCAGTTAGGGATAAGAGTCAATGGAGAATACCTTAGTAACCTGCGCTTCGCCGATGACATTGCATTGCTGAGTAACTCGGGGGACGAATTGCAACTCATGATTACGGAGTTAGGCAAGGAGAGCAGAAAGGTGGGTCTTAAAATTAATCTGCAGAAAACGAAAGTAATGTACAACAACCTCGGCAAGGAGCAGCGCTTCGAGATAGGTAATAGTGCACTTGAAGTTGTAAAAGACTATGTCTACTTAGGGCAGGTAATAACCGCAGAGCCGAACCACGAGATTGAAGTAACTAGAAGAATAAGAATGGGGTGGAGCACATTCGGCAAGCACTCTCAAATTATGACAGGTAGATTGCCACTATCCCTCAAGAGGAAGGTATATAACAGCTGTATCTTGCCGGTACTTAGCTACGGAGCAGAAACCTGGAGACTTACAAAGAGGGTTCAGCTTAAATTGAGGACGACGCAGCGAGCAATGGAAAGAAAAATGGTAGGTGTAACCTTAAGAGACAAGAAAAAAGACATTACGAATCCTCTAATGGGAGCCTTTCAATGAACAAGGTTCCTTGCCGACCAGAAGGGCATCCATCAAAGCCTCAACTTGATTATTCAACAGGAATGTGTTCGGAAGTCAACATACCATATCTACTCACATAATTTGCACCATCACATGATTTGCTCACCCCTAATATTTTGTCAGCTTAACAAAAAAAAAAGATATTTACTCCCATATATATCACTCCCCGAGCCGGCTGAGCCAGCTCGCCGGCGCTCGTACAAAGAGACTGTGGACATTCATATTTTTTGGACGGGCGCGCCGAGCACGCGCCTTGCCGATCACACGAGCGCAGTTAAACGGGCTGCGAGTGCAAAGCCACTTCTTCCGAAGACTTCCCCCGAACTAGGGTCCCTATAATGCTAAACCAAGCAGTGAGCAGCCACATCAGCAACGCTCAGAGCGCCCCAACTAAGATAAGATAGCAGCAATGCCACTTACAGAAACTCATGCGGTGAGATTTGTCTATTGCTAGGAATCTTCTAATGATGAATAGAGAAACAAAAATGACACACAAAGAGCCAAGCTGGTTTTGCTACTGTCACCATTTAGTGCATCTGCAGACATCCTTGTAAACATGTATCTTAACTGTATTTCCACAGCATCAAGAGCTTCAATGTTAGTTTCTCCTACATGCTGCAGCGGCATGGAAGAAAAAGCTCTACAAAAACAGCAAATGTCTAAAAGATACACTGCCTAGAACCCTCAGATTAGCAACTACTGCATTTAGCCGAGCAGGATCCCCCAACAGCAAACAGAGACAGATGTCATCACAGCTGTGGTGTAGCAAGTGCCTCACACAACTATGGAACTCCTGTTGCTCTTTTGGCTTGATTTGGGACTGAGAAACCAAGTTTTTTGGCCAGTTAAGTCCTTGTCGCTTCGAGCTTCCCTACTCTGGTATTTCATGTAGAGCAATGTGCCCTGCTGTTTCAAAGCACTCTCAAATCTTATAAATATGTCTTTATATTGTTACGTAAAAATGACACGAGAAGTGTCTATTTAAAATCTATATTCAAAATGATGCGTATGGCGTCGACTAAGATGGAAGCAGCACGCGCAACCGACAGAGCACTTCCTCGCTGTCGTCTTTTCACCGCTGATACGTCAGCTACGTAGCATTACCCCCCCGGCGGTAAAAGCGCCGTCTCGGTGCACATTAACTACGGTCTTCAGTAGGCAGGTGGTAAGGTTTTAGCCTGCTCACGTGCACATCATCACTGGGTGTGGTTGCAGGCAGGCTTGTGGTCTCAGATGCAGGAATGATCTCATAGGTGACGTCGGTTACCTGGCGGATGATACGGTAAGGACCCATGTAGCGAGACAATAACTTCTCTGATAAGCCAACTCGACGAACTGGGCACCACAGGAGAACAAGGGAACCGGGTGAGAAGTGAACGTCAGCATGCCGGCTGTCGTAGATGGCTTTCAGGGTGGCTTGCGAAGCCAAAAGTCTAGAGCTGGCGATCTGACGTGCGTGGTCGGCACGAGCAATAGCGTCGCGTGCATATTCGGTTGACGGCGTTGTAGTGGTTGGAAGTAAGGTGTCGAGTGGTAACGTCGGATCACGGCCATAAAGCAAATAAAAGGGTGAATAACCAGTGGTGTCGTGGCACGAAGAATTGTACGCGAAGGTCACGTGAGGTAGCGCCAGGTCCCAGTCATGGTGGTCGGAGGACACATACATAGCGAGCATGTCCGTTAGGGTCCGATTCAGCCGTTCGGTAAGGCCATTTGTTTGGGGATGGTAGGAAGTAGTCAGCTTGTGGTGCGTCGAGGAAGAGCGCAGAAGATCGTCGATCACACGGGACAAAAATGCGCGGCCACGATCTGTGAGTAATTGGCGTCCTAGGAGCGCCATCCTGTAGGATGACGTCGTGGAGCAAAAAGTCCGCAACGTCAGTAGCGGTGCTGGTGGGGAGCGCTCGAGTGATGGCATACCTAGTCGCGTAGTCTATAGCAACAGCGACCCACTTGTTGCCCGATTTCGACTCGGGAAAAGGACCGAGAAGATCTATACCAACACGGAAGAAAGGTTCGGTTGGGATGGAGATCGGTTGAAGAAGTCCAGCCGGGGGCTTCCTACGTTGGCATTTATCGCAGGAGGACACGTAACGGCGCACGGACCAGGCGAGACCGCGCCAAAAGATGCGGCGACGCACGCGGTCGTACGTCCTAGATACACCCAGATGACCAGCAGTTGGTTCATCGTGAAGCTCGTGCAGCACAGTTAAACGCAAATTTTTCGGCACGACAAAAAGGAGCTCAGGGCCATCTGTCTGGAGGCTACGACGGTACAGCGTGCCATTCAGGAGGACGTACATGCGAAGTGACGTGTCGTTCGGAGCAGATTCGCGACGGTCAATAAGTTGTCGCAGAGAAGCATCACAACGTTGTTCATCACCAATCTGAAGAAACTGGGACATTGACATGACGCTGAGGCTAGGCTCGATGTCTGGTTCGTCGGGCTGATCAACAGGGTAGCAGGATAAGCAATCGGCGTCCAGATGGAGACGTCCAGACTTATAAGCAACCGAGTAGGAATACTCTTGTAGGCGTAATGCCCAACGACCAAGTCGTCCAGTGGTGTCCTCCAGAGAAGAAAGCCAACACAGCGCGTGGTGATCTGTGATGACACGGAAAGGGCGGCCATACAAGTAAGGACGGAATTTCGAAGCCGCCCAAACAAGAGCGAGACATTCCCGTTCTGTTATAGAATAATTGCGTTCAGACTTAGAAAGCAGACGGCTCGCGTACGCGATTACACGGTCGTTGCCCCGCTGAATTTGCGCCAAAACTGCACCAATTCCGTGACCACTCGCGTCTGTTCGCACTTCTGTGGGAGAATCGGGGTCGAAATGTGCAAGAATAGGAGGTGTCGTTAGAGCGGTGATTAGCTGAGAGAAGGCGTCAGCTTGAGGAGGGCCCCAAGAAAATGGGACGTCTTGTTTGAGAAGGTCGGTGAGTGGCCGTGCGAGTGCCGCAAAGTTTTCACAAACCGGCGAAAGTAGGAGCAGAGGCCCACAAAACTGCGAACATCATGAACAGAGCGTGGGACTGGGAAGTTTGTTACAGCGCGTACTTTCGCCGGGTCTGGCCGTACGCCGGCAGCGTCAACAAGGTGGCCCA